TTAAATAAGTAAGTAAAAATACTATCAGCTGTAGAAACTCAACCTTGTATTCTTGGTGCATTGCCTTCATTTGTACACAGTCGCCAGTTTTGGTGGTTTTGCAGGCAAATCTGTTTGTGCAGTTAATTGTTTGGAATTCGTAAACAGTTCTTTTGAGCGTACATAATAAGGTAAACTAAAGTTCAGCCTTTGCTGTGGTAACTTTGTGGTGTGAAGTAAAAAGGATTGCCACTAAAATCAGTACTATCCTGAATACACGGAAGTTTCACGTCTGAATGAGGAGCTGTCATCCAGTATAGTCATGAACTTTGTGGAAGCTCAGTTTGAGCTGTAAGTACAACTTCTGGTATGCACCAAGCAGCAAACAATGCCTGAATATTACGCAACACTGGTGCAGCATATAAATATATATATACACTCAAGAAAAAGGTGTTCAAGGTAAAGTAATGCTCATATGTGAATCAGGATTGTGAATCCATAGAGCATAAATTACTAAGCCTATGAAATACTTAATGGCCACCCATTGTCTGCCTATAGTTCTTCTACAAAAACTAATAGCGACCTCTTAAAATTATTTGTGGGTATGCTGAGTTTAAAGTGTACATGCTTATGTGGCGCTCCCTACTGTACTTGCTACTGAGAGGGTGCTTGTGAATATAAATCTCATGCTCTGAAAAGATGAAACTGCAGGTATTGTGCCTCAGCAAAAAGTTTGAAGTCTTAGGATAAGTAAGACAGTTTAACTGTCACCAGAAATTAAGCGGTGAAGTGTATAGGTACATATGTATAAATAATGTGTTTATAAACAGAAAAATAGGAATCGGATGTTCATAGAAACCATTAAAAAAAAAGATCCCAACTCCTGTGTGTTTTGCACTGTGAACGTTGTAGGGAGAGAATGGAAAAAGTTCCCAAACGCTTTTTAATGCAGCCTTTAGTCAGTGACAGCTCTTGCTTCCACGTTTGCCACTTACATTAGTGTATGTAAGGAAGGTTAATAAAAGGGTATAGAGATGCGTTAAAGTTTCATAGACATTTTTACCAGAATGGTTGTGACATACAATATTGAAATAAGTCACTTCTCAGCAAAATCTGTTTCTAGCACTCGGCTCTTAAATAAAACTACAGTTAAAATGTGTAAGCACTGCATGCTTCATGCATGCATCTTAACACTGGTGACTTCTTACTAGGTGAACTTCAGACATGGTCAAATTGTTGGTCGACTCGGTCCTGTTGTTTTTCTTTAATAAAACAATTTGTTTAACATGTACTGATTTTAGAGCTAAAATGTTACAGCTTTAGGAATCCTTGATTCTTTTTCATATGCATTATCAACCTGAAGTCCAGTCTTGAGTAATGCAGACCTTTTTTGAATACCTGTAAGAAAAACTCTCGTAAGACATTTGAAAAGCATTTTTAAATTTGAAAATGTATTCTTTTATCTACTTCTAATAGGCAAGATCTCACTAAAAATCTGTTGAGATAACCTCCAGTTCATTGTAAGAAGAATTGAGTTAATCCTGAAGTTATTTTGCATAAGAAGTCATTGAGCTCAGAGTAAAATTGTTATTTTTCCTCCCTGGTATAACAATGCTGTGCTTCTGTATGAAATAACAAATAAGTACCACTGATATCATCATAAGCTGAAGAACGTATTTTTGACTGTAAAATAATTAGAATGCAGCGTGCTACAAAAGAAGCCTTATCTAAAGTATCTACAAGATTCACAGTTACAGCAGACCTGGGATAAAACAGTCTTCCGGCTGTTCAGCTTCTATGCATTGTTTTAAATGGAAGAGCAGCAACTGTGCCGTGCAAACTTCTGAACTTGTAAAACCTGATAGCTCATATTCTTGAACTAAGAGCACAGCAATTCCATCTCTGTATGGTATTTTAGGTCAGCTATCGCCAGTGATTCTGGTAATGAAACATTAAATCTCCGATATTGGTGGGGGAGCTCTAACAGGCCAACTTATGGTGGGGGTGTATTGTTTTAATCCAAAATCCATTTGCTTGATGATCCAAGTGACTGACATGAGGATGAAACAAATGGCAGTCTTTGTTTTCTCCTCAAATTTAATTTCAGTCATCTTTCTTGGTTGGCTGAGAGTCAGTTTTTCAGAGGATCACGCTATGTGTCAGTTACTGGTTTTGATGAGCAAAGAATGATGTATTCTATGTATTTCTTAGAATCTATAATGACTTTTAGGCTTCATCTGAATTACGTCAGATGAAGTGGTCTTTGTCCATGCCAATGAGATTCAGCATTATGAAACAAATTATTCTACCATCCTCTTATCCAGTGCTTTATTTCCAGTGCTTCCGGGATATTTTGTGTCACATATTTCTGGATCCTCTAAGGTTTTATCTGAGCTCGTTAAAACTGTTTTTCTGTAGTATCTGTTGGGGCACAGTTCTTTTTGCAAGCTTAGAAAAGTTTGCGAAGACTCTTTAGATGAGATCCTTCTTCTTTTCACGGGTTAGATCCATTACTGAATTTTGCCAGATAACATCTTGATAAAGAAGCCTACTCCCCCATGCCATGTACGAGCACAAATAAATGACAAGTTGATAGAGCAGCATCTGTTAGATCAACTGAAAAATAATAGACCTTACAGACAGCTTGACATAAGACCCTTACAGCTGAAAAGCAATGTGCTTTATTTTTCAGCACCTTTTTCACTGGCCAGAGAAGGTCCAGCACAGCCACTAATAGGGACAGCAGATATTACAAGAGAAAAGTTGCATTTTGAATGAGGTGGTGTCTTCAGCTTTCATCTCAAAGGAGCAGAGAGCACATGTGTGGGTGAGGAAGGCAGCAAAGGCTCAGGTCAGCACGATCATTTTTAGAGAACTTGGGCGTGTTTGACTCTCAGCCATAGCAGGCCAACTGGATGTGGACTTCTTGGACTTAATGTTTCAGTCTGAACGAGCTGATCCACTTGAATGTGTACATTCTAGCTCATTGTCACATTCGGCTTTGGCCCAAAGAAGGAACGACTCTCACAGTCGTTTATTCCTCATCTTACACTCTTTGTGGAGCAAGACACACCCAGTTCCCAGAGTCCTAACCACATAGAGAGGTAGCTGTGGTTTTCAGCTGCTTGCAAGAACTTGCGTTTTCTACTGAGCTCAGAGAGAAGGAAGAGCAAGTTCTTCACCTGGACGTGAAACATGTTTGTTAATTCCCGGATGACTAATTGGGTAAAAACCCAAGCCCCCTCTCGTAACTAAGTTTTGCAGTAATTTTCCATGCAGTGGCCCAGTAACTAAACTAGAGACACTTTTCTGCTTAGGAAGGCAATGAAGGTTATTTTAGCTTCTGCTGGAATTTTAAGCTTATTTTCATACACATCCGTATAAAAACAGAGCTGTACTTACTGTAGATAATATGTCATAAAAAACTGTCACTGCTGTCATTACACATTACAAAAAAGAATTTAAAGACTGGAATTTTCAGTTTGGCCTAAGAGTTCTAGATAGCCACCTCCTCCTGAAAATTCAATTCAGGTATACCATATTTGGTTTTAAAAATCCTACCCCCAAAGGAGTTTTCCAGATTGTGATATGGAAGTGATGCTCTTAGTTTCAGCTAACAAAAGTTGCGTTCTTCATACATTTTTCTTACCAAGTCATTAAAAATGTGTTCAACATAAAAGCTCTGATGTAAACACTCGTTTTGAACTTAAGTAATGCTGAAAAATTGCCAAAACCACCCTTTTTTTTTAAAAAAAAAAAACATTTATATTTTGTGGTTGCCTCACTTCTCACTAAATTAATTTCCTTAACTAGATCTTGAGAAATACTTTGTCAATATACTTTTGACAATTCAAATAGAGTCCAGAATGACACAGGCCTGGTTTTCTCCCACAGATGTGCCATTTTATTCCTTTCATGAAATATTTAATGCTTTTGTAAGTAGTAATTTTAAGTAGTTCAGGTGGTATGAAAGCTTATTGGTCTACAATTACCCACAGACACATTTCTTTTAAGATGGGTGCAAAACACTAATTGCTAATGTCTGTGAGCTTGTTTTTATCAGGAGCCGAGCCAACTCATTCTTAAGTTTTTCCAAACTGCTGCTCCCTGCTGACTTGTCGATCTCTGTCGCTGCGTTCCAGTCCCCCCACTTGTCAGCTCAGTCTGTAACTGTCATCTTGAGTACTTGAAGAAACCAGACCTGGGCAGGAATCCTCTGTTTGGTGAAGATCAGTGAAAATAAATCTTTCTCTATGGTATCATTACTTGTTCCTTTAGTTACATCGCGATGTACTGGCTCAAGCCAAAGATTCGTGTAGCCTGGTATCCTGTCTCCCGTAGTATACACCCAGTGCCAGGGCAATCCTGTACTGGTATTTCCCTCAGTAATAATGGGTACTGACAGCTATAGTAAAACCTTTTTGTTTCTAATTGGGCTGTGATTCAGAAAAATGAAAATAGCAAAGTAAAAGCTTTTTGTCTGCCTTTCAAGAGAGCATACTCTTGATACTTCAGAATTAAGAGACAGTCTGGCAATTTTAGAGAATTTTTTTGACTTGGCTTTTCTCCTTTCTGTCTTCCCCCCCCTCCCCAAAGATACAAGGGGTTTCAAGTTACAAAACTTAAAATTATGTTTGAGATATGAACAGTATTCTGCTCAAATTAGAATTCCTACTTGTTCAAGTTCTATCTAGCTTAAGCAGGCACAAGTTATTTTTAAATGGTCTGTGTTGCTTTTTCATTTTAGATATTCCTTCTTCCTTCATGTGTTTCAGTGACTGCCACATTAGCAGATGAGTGTACAGAATGGAACTTTGTTGCATAAAAGTGCTTAAGAAGGGATTGTTGTTGTCTTACCAAGCACCCAAAGAAAAACAAGGGGGTTTTTGTATGGAATTAGTACAAAGAGGCTTCCTGGTTACATTGACAAACAGGAAACTCAACAGATTTTTAAAGCTCTTGAAAATAGTCACAAACCTTGGTTTTGTCTGGCTGATGCTGGAAATGAAGAATTTCGGAGACTAACTTGTCAATCTTGGCTTTGTAAACTGGTCTGGTGACCTATAACAGTTAAAAAAAAAAAAAAAAAGAAAAAGAGAAACCAAACCAGTAGATTAATTATTTCACTAAATCACAAAAAGCACTCAGATAGGATGGATCACCAAAGCCATGCAAGAGAGCTGTAAGAAAAGCAGTTCTACAATCCTGTTATGAAAGCTACACTGCAGTAGATGTGGAAAGCAAATAAATGAATTAGTCTTTTTAGTTCTGAAATTGCCAAGCAAGAGATTAGAATAAAATTTGATTTAGTTGTAGAGTTAATAGATGAAGATGGACCTGTTATTTGAGGTGGGGCTGTTTGTTGAGGGGTAAGGAAAGTATTTCCATGCATTTTACCTCCATGCTGAATTGTGTTTTCAAGTTCATGTAATGCTTCGTGATCAATGATGTCTGAGGAACCGACACAAGCACTTACACTACAAGCCGTATGACAAAAGCTAGTTATGGGTTCATCATGTTCAAAAGCAGGATTAATCCTTACAGCATTTTCTGAATTGCAGCTGTTGAGAGTAGAACTTCTACAATGCAGAACATTTTTGTTTAGGTAAGATTTTAAATTGCAAAGAAAAAAGAATATTTTGAAATGTGAAGAAAAAGATCGTGAGCAGCTTACTGCAAATTAGAGTTTCTTTTGCTTTTTCTTCTTAACTTAATGATTAAAACGATGGAAAGAAAACCAAGGCTTAGTAAGCCAAGAATGAGAGGTTTAAAAATGAAGGGTTGTATGGGTTCTGGAGCAAATTTTGCACAGCGCTGTCCTTGGTAAAGCTTGTGTCTACGTACAGGGCATCTAAAATGGGGAGAGGAAGAGAAAAATATACAGAACTTGAAGGCAGAAAATACGGAGTACCTCAGATGAAAACAAAGGAAAATCTGCAAGTAAATATAAACAGAGTATTCCTGATACAATTAATTGTTATGTGTCTGTATGAAATAATGTGATTGATGATAGAGGAAAGAAAATATTCTTCAATTCATGAGAGTGAGCATTAAAACAAAAAGACACTGATACACTCTTTGCCAACCTACAAATTTTAAGGAAATTATGCATTTGGAACATCTCTGACAAATTTCTAGCCCCACAGGTGAAGCTGAAATAACATTCATGGTTTAGAACCTTAGAAGTTCAGGTGTGCTTCAGAGTACTGTCTAAACACATCTTTGAAGCCTGTATGCTGTTTATTGATGATTTTAATCTGAGTAGCAAGGTCTGAAATAGGAGTTCTACAAATAGCTCCCTTTAAAGCAAGGGAGAAGATCGCCATATTTTATATGAGAATACAGGGGTTCCAGTTAGTGGAAAACCTAGCGTGGTTCTGAGTAAATTGACAAGCAAAGCAAGTGCTTAATAAAGCAAATAATAGGCCATAATTTTCTCTCTGCAGACTGTGCAAGTTTGCACAAGCTGTCAGTCTGAGACTGGCAGTAACTTTTCGCAACTGTTTGCAACTTGCTATAATTCACAAAAAGTTTCATTTATTATTTTTAATACTTTTATCATTCCAAATGAGGTTTTGGTTATTACTGTACATCAAGTCAGGGCTTTTCTGAAATGGAAAGGTGTTATTTTCCTTAGTGCGTTGGTCTTGGAGGAGTAGGCTGTACCCTCTGCTACTTGAGTAAAGTTCTGAAGAGGACCTCTTTAGCTCACAGGCTGATTTCTAGTACAAAATACTGCAGCTGCACTACTGTGACTCCGCAAGTCAGGAATTTAGCAGTAACTGTGGTGAATTCAATATAATCGTCTATGATCATTTCTGTGACGCCCACTGCAGAAAATGAGTTATGGCAGTTATGTTGTTACAGTGAAATTATCATATGAATGATTTGCTCAGTAGTCTTCTTTTTTGACATTAATCCTAAAAACACTGAAAGATGTATCATTAACCTAGTAAAGTCAATATTAAGAGAGAATAAACAAGTGCAATAATTGCAACCTGTCTCTTGCTTATACACACGGCTTGTCAGCTACCACGTGCCAGTCTGGTGTCCAGTTTCACATAATGCTCTGGATAGTCTGGTCTTACAGTGAGATGCAACCTGATACTTTCAAAAGAGAATTAATATGTTCAAGTACTGTGGTAGTTCTCAATATTGGCTTAACATCATTTTGTGTAAAAATCCTTACGGAATATGTTTGCAGTTACATGGAGCTGCTAATCTTCAAGTCTTTCCCAGAAAGCTCTGAAAGCAGCCTCAGTCTTTATGTGCTTTATTGGGTGGTCCAGAGTCAGAATAGTGTTCATAGGTGTGTTTTATAAGAATACAGATTTCCTTTTAAATACAACTTAGAATTAATTTCTTAAAATACTACTATGTAATCAATAGCAAAAACATGAATGTCTTATTTCATTTTTCCAAGATGTATTTGGAAATCTGAAAAGAATGCATGGTTTTGTACTTGTCGTCTCTGCCAATGATGCTGAATTTGTAATAAATTTCTAAAGCATCTCTAAAAAAAATAACTATATCATGACGATCTGTGTGTACCAACAGGCAGAAATGGATTTATCCATAGTGAGACTTTAGACTGAAGAAGGGTATTGCAATGTTGCTTAAAGTGTCTGAATATTGAGGTCTTGGCTTATTAGCACAGTTTACGCTGTTGAAAAGTATATACTGAGCCCTGCTTGTTCATGCAATAGACGTGTCGGGGCTGTTAAGAGAATTCATGCTAAGAACCATTTATTTACCTGCAGACGGCTCCTCTTCCTGGAACTAACTCACATTTCCCACCATTGACGCAAAGATGGGGTTCCAACTCACACAGGCTCCGACAGGGTAATCCGTCTTGGCTTGCGTAACCAGGTTTACAAAGGCAGTCAGCCTCTTTTGTCCACTCGTTTGTTATGCATTCGGAAAACTCGTCGCACGCCATGAATTTGCATGGGTCTGCCTGATCAGCTGTAAAGGATGGGTAAATCATTAGTTGATGCATTACCCCAAAGCAACTTGGCAGGCTTTGTGGCAGCTAGAGAAAACAATTCACATTTACTGGCCTGCTACTTGTGCATGTTAATAGGAGGATGTAGTCTAGCATAAAAGGACACACATCCTTCTTTCTGTAGAAGACACAGCAAGCATGCAAGCTTATACTTGTACGTTTATTTACCCTATCATTACCATTCATTTTCATCTCACTGACAAAGATTTTCACATTTGGAAATTTTTATCCTTTTTTTACTGTAAGTAATAGTTTTAAACTCATGGATACTACGCAACAGCCTTGCATATATATAAGAAATAGTTTTGACTATAATCATCTTAAACACATAATTTAGGATATGTCAAGGGGAGGGAATTAAATTATTGAATATTGCACAATGCGATGAGGACTGCAACGTAGAAATACTGGCATTGTCTAGAGAAAATACGTGCTTGCAGAGCTTTTTTGGAGGTGATGTTAGCATTGGGAAAACTTGCCTTTTTTTTTTTTTTTTTTTTTTTTTAAAGATTAGTAAAGGATGCTTCTGTGAGATTAAGGGAAAATGAGTCTGCTGATGTTCGTAGGAAGGCCCAAATCAGAGACAGCTTAGAGTCCTAACTTCACCTGTCACACAAGTCTACTTCTTCTTTCCCATTCTCTGCTTCTAACTGGAAAAAAGACTCAGGAGGAGTCATTTTAACCCAGTGCTCAGCCCAGCTGTGTGCTGATGGGTGATAAGGAGGAGGGCTGCATCCACCAATCTTGGCTCCTGGAGGCAGTTTCCTGTGCACTATGGGGTAAAACCCATAGATAGAAGGCAAAAGATGAGAAGCAGACCAGGGGACACAAATTCTGTTCTTGCCAGCAACCAGTTTCAATAAAATGTGTGAATCCAGGAAGGCAAACAAAACAAAGTGGACAAAGGCAGGAAAGGAGAGCACAGAGAAGGAGGACATGAGAGCAGATATACAGGGTATGAGCTGGGCTATGCAGGTCCTGAGTGACTGGACCTGTTCAGAGGAAGTTTGCAGCTGTAGTCTAAGCTGTAGAGAGGAACTTAGTCTCAGGTCTGGTCTACAGAAACCAAAATCACCTAATACATCAGTGCAGAAGAAAACTGTCCCCTTTTTAGTCATGTGGGCTTAACATTTCTTGAGAAGAAAAATGTGTAATTTAAAAAGAAGATTTGTACTGGGTATTGCAGCTAGTACCTGTAGGTACTATCTGGGCTGAGAATTTTCTTCTGGAGCCAATTCACAGCCCTAGATGCTCCGTAATACTGATTTCAATGAAAAATGAGCATCGCATTCTTTATAGTAGGACTGGAAATCTCAGACACACACTAGGACATGCTTAATTGGTAAAAATTAATCCAGTACAGCTGTTCAATTTTAACCCCTCTATAATTCTATGGCTAGTTCCTTTTTTTTTTTTTTTTTTAATTTAGGACTAGTGAGATTTAGCATGCTCAATTTCCCTTTGCTATATACAATGTGCACGTTAATTTGGGATCTACTTTGTTCCTGGACTGTAAATGTACATACATGTGAACACTAATAACTGGGCATCAGAGTAATGCAATAAATTACAAGGTTATTTTATTGTCAGGCAAACCCTTGCTTATATGTTAAAAAAAACCCACAAACAACAACAACAAAAAAACCACAACCCAAAAAAACTAGCTGGAAAATCAAAAGGGGATATTAGTTCTTACAGATTCTTTTCTTATCCCACACAGAATTGCACTCCAAGCAAAGCCAGAACACTTCTGAAGGAAAAATGGTTAATAAAAGACTTGGTATGATTGAGTAATTGATTAAAGCATTAACAGCTCCATTAGCTGCATGTGTCCTGTGAGTCTCTTCCCAGTTTTGATGGTCACAGTTTACCTTCATACTAGTGGAAATAAAGGTTGATACTGCTAGTAAGGAGGCACAGGCTCTGCCTAAGCATTACCCAGGGTGATGTGCTACAGCTCTGCAGTTTTCAGAAACTGAACAGTCTCAGTGCATTTCTATTTGACAAGCAGAGTTTGGCATAAGCATTTCACTGGGTTAGGGGGTCATTTTTTTTTTGTGATAATGTTTAATTTTCCTTAATAAAGTGTTGTGCTACATACCTGCCATACTTTCTCATCTTTTCTGTCTTTTCACTTTTTTTAGATTACAAAAAAAAACCCAAAAATGCATGCAGGTATTTTTAGAAGCCTGCTGTGTTATTCTTTATAGTATTATTTATGACCAATGCATTCAGCCCTTTGCAGCTGCTGAGTCTTGATACATATTTTGGATTGTCAGTTCCCATCAGCGTTTCTATGTGGTATAACATTATTACCACTAGATGGCTCACAGTTTCACACTAAATAGGAATTTGCTTAAATTACCTTAATTTACTAAACACGTTGATTTTTTTCTGGAGTGAAAAGACAGTAGGGCTTTGAAACACCTGTATGGGAATATATTGGATTTCTAAACATAATTTCTTCTATTTTGACATTTTACTACTGCTCATAAGCCTTGAAAGAACAGCTCTCAGCAAACTCATGGTGATATAGTCTAGTTTCCTTGAATTAATGTTGAAATACCACATCAGGAAAGCAGCTGATATGAAAATGAAAGACTTTAAAATTTTTCTGTATTTGCATTTTAGCAACTTTTTCATTTTAGTTTTTATTTAATGAAAATTTACTACTGAAGCAGAGAAAGAGTGGTAGCCCAAAGTTCACTCTGTCTAGTGAACTCATTTATTACTTTATTCAGTGACACATCAGTTTATCATGGCAGTATTTGAAAGTTTAAATTCTGTGATTTTGTTAACTTTCTTAACCAAGTACTACCCATTCTCTTAGTGGCCACAAGGAGTTACATAAAATGAAAACAGATTAGAAACTGCCTCCATGAATTGTAAATGGACTTTTTTGTTGTTGTTGTTCTGGAGTTGTCAGAGACCTGTACGTAAAAAGACAGCTTAACCAAAACTGCTAAAGGCATCTGTATGCTGAGGTATTGGTATCGTTCTTCTCCATGCCTATGAAATTAAGTTCAGCCCCGAAATAATTACTGGAACCTGAAAACAGATCCAGGCTTCAATTTTATAAAACAATATAGTTTTTGAAAACTTCAAGCTTCCAACATTACAATACTGTCCAGATATGTTGTTACTGACTTTCAACTTTTAACAAAGACTACAGACTTATTTGAATGGTATTAAATCAGGAGGGATTCTGGAATTACAAATCTATAGAGTGCTACATATAGTAATGCCCTGGTCAGTGAGTATCTGTACAATCTAATTATTCCTATAAATTATCTCCTTCTGTCTTGAACTCTGTAGTCTTTTAAAAGTAGATTTAATGATGCACTAAATTACAGTTTGCTTACAACATTACAAAAATAATCAGACGTTACGTTTACATGCCCAGATGCAAGATTTGCATGAGTCACTCCTATAAACTGCACATGAACAATCTTTATACCTGTCTTCGCCCAGCCCTTATGCTAGAGAGTTTTTAGTCCCCTATAATTGACTCTGAAAAGCAGTTGGTGTACATGCACAGACCAACACCTCCACCCAACATTTCGTTGTAGTATGAAAATATGTCTGCAGATAATTTGCAACATCTTGGATTTTCTTATTACTCCTGATCACTGGGAGGCTATTGCTAATATCGTTATTTCCAAACCAGTAATACTTCTGAAGCTGTAACAATCTGGAAAATATTATCTCCTTGGTTTTGGTTTTGCACATACATTATTAATTCAATCTTACCTGGCTCAATATCCAGGGAATAGCTGTCAATCTGCAAATTGAGGTGTTGGGCTGCAGCATCACAGAAATCTTCCAAAACACAGTGTACTGCTTCGGTGATATTGTATGGCACTGTCCTGGCAAATTTCATTTTGCTGTTCACAATCACACTTCCATTCCTGAAGTTAAGTATTTCCAGGTGCTTAAAACCTGTAAGGTTGGACTGAAGGTATGGAAGTAGCTGCAAAACAGAAATTTGCCTTTATTTTAACTTCCTGTCAATGTCTACCTACTATAACTTCTTGTAGTCACTTTTCATTATCAGGTAAACACATCACACACTTATTTCTCTGAATTTAATACAGTTGTTAAGCTCCACCACCAAATTCACTTTTCTGTTTAGCGCTATCTTCTTCTGGACTTTTGCGTCTTTCTCAATAATGTATTGAGAGGGATGGGCAGGGATGAAATGGGATACATTTCTCCTGCAATGAAATGCACAGCATTTCGGGAGTTTATTCATCTGGAAGAGAAAAAAAATCACCTCACTCAAAAGCTAACTTTATTATTTTCAAACGTTCAATCCAGGCAGGTTAGGGCATAGCATAATAGGCATGTTAGTGAGCTGACCTGCTGCCCTATTGTACCCATAGAGAAAATCCATATCTAATCACATTCCCCCTGCTAAGCGATGATATATTTTAAAAGGCCTATTTTTAAATCCAGCATGTGGACACAAGCCTTAGATGTAATCAGCACTGCTATACTGTTGACATGAATTTAAGAAAAAGCCAAATAAATTACATGCCAGGCATATATCTGGACAAGTAAAAACTTTCATCACTGACTTCATAAACTCTTTCTTCATACCCTGAGAGCCTCCCAGCCTTATCGGTCCTTTGAAAATACGGCTTATCAGACCGAATTGTAGTAGGGTCTGATATTGTTAAAATACTGTGCTCTTCGGTGTATTTCTTTAAACTGTGCCTGACTATTGCATATGTTGTTCAAGTTGATTTTCACCCACCAATTGCATGAACTGTTGTTCTAGTGCTTTGTATTCTGGCGAACTCCTGTTGAAGAGGTCATCAGAGAAGTGCATGTTGGTTACTCTCAGGCTGAAGAAAACCACTAGTTCTTTGCCTTTGGCTGCGGTTGTCATGGAGCTGGTAGTTACATACTTCAGCGTAGGAGCTGGGGTGGCTTCTGCAGGCTCAGTTGTCAGCACTGAGATATAACCACTGCCATGCTCCACTTCATCCAGTGCTGCTGTGGTCATCACACCGATGTGGTCAAACTCAGCAGCAATATCCTGCACTCCTATCCCGGTGCCATCGGGAGGAACAATCTCAGATGTGGGCACTGAGGAATCTGGTACCTCAAGGGACTGTTCAATGATCTGAGAGAGGCTGTAGGATGGGCTGGTTGCTGCAGGCAGTGGTGCTGTTTGCTCTGATGGTAGCACATCTGTAACAACATCTTCAGGCTGAGTGGTAGAGAAATCACTTGAACCAATAAAGAAAGGCAACGTTTTGTAAGTGCTGGCTGTAACTAAAATGTCATCGCCTGATGATTCTGGTTCATCCAGGAACTTAACTGCTGCAGGAAAACAGGGGAAAACTAAATAGCCATTTTGAAAAGCAAGCATAACAAACATCAAGCATGGAAACAACATGTGTATTGTATTTCCACTGAAGCATTTTTTAAAACAAGCTTTAACACTATCTAAACATGAAAATGTTATTTTCATCACCAAGGAATGACTAGTGGAATAAAACACCTCATCCACATCTTTGTGGGTGCTGTGTTTAAATAATAATTACACTTGGTAAATATTTCCTGAGCCATTCCAAAGCGAATTCTTGTTTTGAAGGTACATAATCGCACTGTCAGTTTTTGTTGACTGAAAGTAGATTGCAGCTTTGAGCTGTCTGCTTGGATCAGTTGCATGCCCGAGTCATTCTGTTCCCCTTTGCGAGAGGTTAAAGCTATTATTTGCCAGTAATCATAAAACGTGGTTAAGAAAAACAGTACAACGTCTTCAGATGCAAACTGTGTTGATTTACCTAAAAGACAACAGCACCAGTGAAAACAAATTCAAACCTTAAGAAATCATCTGCTGCACCTGAAGCAGCCATTTGATCCAGGTGCTGAACTTCTACAAAGTCCCCATTGGGGCTTGGCGTGGATCTAGGATGTGTGATAGTGGTAGGTGAAATCCAAATCTACAGCATGATGAATGAGACTCTTTGAATTTGGCTTGCAGCTACCTGGCTACAATGACGTCACAGAAAACGATAGCCTCCAAGCAACAGACGTCTACCCAAGATGACAACTTTATCCTTTCCCAGTGATATACTTATGTGGGCTCTTCATGCAGGACTTTTAGCAGCCCCCTGCAGGCAAAATCACTTATCAGCTGATAGGAAAGAAGTTTTTCTCCAGTTGATGAACTCTTTCATTCCCTATTCACTAATTTCCTCCCAGTGGCCAATGAAAGTATTAAGGGAGAGCAAACTTTTGCATTAGGAATAACCCCAACTGAAGGAGGTGGCAACTATCCTGTCCATGGCATAGGAGTTGCTCATGGATGTTCTTTATGCCCCTTTCCATTTCCTTGCTTCTAAATAAATGAGGTTCATTCTTCTGCTTATTGCATTGCTGCTTTTAGGAACAAATGTACATTTTCAACAAAGAAAAGCTTAATACAAGATAGCTGTCTATTTTTTTGACACTGATAATTTAACAGCATGTACTAGCTCTTTCCTTCCTCCCTGCAGATACAATGCCTTGGTCTAATGTGGGTTATTTTCTATATAACCATATATAGCGCCATTCTGCTAAGCTGACCACACTTCTCAAAACAGCAAAGAATTGCTCTAAGGCATGGTATGTGTTTTTACCAAAATTAGATGCTTGAGAAGAATTTTCTCCCATCTGGTTACCACTTTGTATAAACTTATGTTAAGAGCTGCTACGTATATATTTTTTCCCCTTTGTCATTTGTTTTGTTATGTATGTTGTAGTATATATTTGGTGAGTCAGTGATAGTGGTGTAAAAAGATAAATAAAACACTTGCTAATAAAATAAAATAAGTTAATAATATAAAAATAATAGATAAT